CCCTAAACCCTTAAACCCCTTAAATCCAAAAAACCCTAAACCCTAAAAACCCTAAGCCCCTAAACCCCTTAAACCCCTTAAACCCTAAACCCGCTTCAACTGAGATCCCTGTAGGTTCTGTACCTGTTGGCCCAGAAGCTGGAACTTAGCCTTGCTGACAAGCGCATAGATTAGGGTTTAGGGTTTAGGGTTTACGGTTTAGGGTTTAGGGTTTAGGGTTTAGGGGATGCTCCCCCTCGCCATATGAGAGTCCCCTTTAAAGGGGAATATTAGGGTTCAATTAGGGTTATATGGGGATAATGGAAAAGAAAACGGAAGCTACTATTTAGGGTTTAGGGTTTAGGGATATGATGGTTTCCCAAAATTAGGGGTACCTTTTTAGGGCTCCCAAGAATAAGGACTATAGTATTTGGGGCCTATATTGGGGTCTCTTTATTTAGGGAGACTACCATATATAACCCCTATATAACCCCTAAATGATTACCAATAGTATAATATAGCAGAATGAGGAGGCACTGGCAGCCGTGACGCGCTGGAATACAGGCTCCTCCTCTCGGAGTGCCAACTTGACGTGAGAACAAGTTCTGAAGCACTTCCTTTCCAGGGGCGCTGGGTTTGTCACCGGACTTCGAAACAAGGAGAACGCAGAGATTTGCTCAGTGGACCTCGACATGCCCGGACTGAAGGGCAAGAACTTGGGAGCTGTGGCTGCAGATCAATTCGTCACCTCATATTTCTGCAGTGCCTCCCATGCCCTGCTACTTGGCCGGTGCAACTGCAAGAATGTCAAGCTTGGGGCTGAGGGTTGAGGGTTTTAGGGTTTCGGGTGTAGGGTCATCTCATAGATAGTCCTGCGGACTCATGGGAGCTACTCTTTTTTTAGAAGGTTTTGGCGAATTGATAAGATTTTTTTCGGAAGGTTGGCCACGAATGTAGCAGCCCGAACAATCAGCCATATTGTGGTCCTAGATTCCTTGTATGATTATGGTATTCCAAAGACACTTCAAAGATGTCATTGGCAATTGTTTTGGGCGGCCTAGATGAGGTAGTTTTCAAAAATAGGGGGAACCCGAGATAGATCCCAACATATAATAGCCCTTATTTTAAGGACTTCCAAAGTGGTACTCCTACTTTTGGGAACCCTTATAGTATGCATTGGGTGTCCTACGGAGACCCTGAAACCGAATCCTGCCTCATGTGAGCTATAATCTAAACTCTTCAAAGGCGGGTTATATAGGGCATTATGTACGGGACCATTGTACAGCTAATCAAGGGGGATGCTAGGACTTTAGATTACAGCTCATACAAGCAACTGCTGGGACAAGAAGAGGTGCACGGGGTCTGCAGTGGTTTGAGTTTGGGTTTAACACTTGGGCTACAACGGCCAGCTTGGGACAGAAACTTGCCGTAAACCCTATGTAGGGCTTAATTATGCAGAAATTTTCGGGGCAGCAGAAACAAATACATTTCTTGAATTGCATGGGGCGTAGGGCCTAGGCAACTAGAAAATCATCATGATGCCAATAGGAGTTTCCAAAGGTAGCCAGACCCCTTACATGCCACATTAAATTTTAGTCCGTAAAAACCCTGGAGCCCCCCACAGGGATCCCTAATTTTCAGAGACCCCAAAATGATGCTTGAAGCAGATAATGATCAAAGGTTCCAGAAAAGGCCCTGATATTCGGGTTCTGGCTCATGGTGGCACAAGCTGGGAAGATCCCTTTAAAGCTTCTAGTGGTTGCACCCTGGTGCTTACAAGTCTCAACGTATCCTAAACCCTAAACCCCCTAACCCTAAAACCCTAAACCCTAGCACAGCTTCCAGATTCCCTAAACCCTAAACCTGACACCCTAAGCCCCCAAAAAGCACCCCTGAGATTGAACACAAACGCCGTTGAGGGGTTGGGTTAGGATTTGGGGACTTGAGTGTGTGGGTTTAGAATTCCCGGACATGATTCCCAAGCTTAAGCCCAAATCTCAGGATCATGAATCTGACCCCCATCTACCCCGAACCCTAAACCCTAAACCCTACAGGCTTGAAAAACAACACGGAGCTCAACGGACAGCTGGGCATCCTCAAGGAGAAGGCAGGATTCAATCACGGCCTAGGGCTTAGTGTTGAGGATTCAGGGTTTAGGATTTAGGGTCTAGGGCTTAAGCCCAGAGGTCGCAGTACAGCTGATACAAAAAAACTAGGAATCTCAGTAATGCCCTTTTCCTCCTGCTGTTTTGGGATCTTTTTGTTACAGCTGAACATTAGGGAAAAGAGCACCCATTACAGAAGAGGTGGTTACTGCGGAACCTAGGTTTACTACAAGACCACAATCACAATTTGGACTATCCTTTGACTTGGTAAGTCTACCGACTATCCCGAATAGCCCTTGCTCTAAGCCGTATACCGCCTGTTACTAAGTCAAGAGATCCTCCAACAAGGGTACAAAGTACTTAGAGTCATGCAGGATTTCAATACCAAGAGTTCAAAGGTTCCGGGGTTGTGCCCCCAAGGCCGTACCGCCATAAGATGCCCCCAATATAGCCCCAGCATAGCCCTTGCATAAACCAAGGTAGTCCCCTGGGGTTGCTTCAAAGATCGCAAAACCCAGGGCTAATACCGGAGGGGTACAAGAACCGTTGAAATGGTGGGGTGGGCTCTCCCCCAACCCTAAACCCCAAACCCTACACCCCACCCGCCGCCGCAGTCAATACGAACAGTAGTTGTACCTATACCATACACCTACTTGGATCCTTTGACTGAATTATTATGTCTACTCAGTAACAGGGGTTCTGGTTCTTACAGGACTGTTTAAGGATAGTAGGTAGACTTACTGAGTCAAAGAATCATCCAAGTATATTTCCATGTTCTTGTACGTTTGATTCTCCGTTGTTGAACTGTTGAGCCCTCTATCCCTACATGGATAACCCATAAACTCTAATCCCTGAAACCCAAATTCGCATGCCTTAAACCCTGAATTTACTAAACCCTTAAAGTTTCAACCCCTAACCGCTAAGCCTTTTAGTCATTAAGCCCTGAACCCTAACCCCCACACTCTGAGCCTTCAAGTAGGTCATGAAGCCCCAAACCCTAAACCCTGAATCCTAAACCCTAACTTTTAAGCCTTAGACCCTAAACCCTATTACACCCCTAAATGCCTGGATCCCTAACCCCTAAGGCCCCCTGCATTGTCCCTTGAACCCTACCCTAAACCCCAAGCCCCTAACCCTAAACCCAAACCCCTAAGCCCCTGAACCCCTAAAACCCCTAAACCCCTAAAGCCCCCAAAACCCGTAAACATTCCTAAACACACCTAAACGCCCCTAAACACCCCAAAAAACCCTAAAACCCCTAAACCCTTAAAAACCCCTAACACCCTTAACCCCTAAAACCCCCCAAAACCCTTAAAACCCCTAAAACCCCCAAACCCCCAAAACCCCTAAACCCCCAAAACCCCTAAACCCGCAAACCCTTAAAACCCCTAAGAACCCTCTCCTCCGGAGGCCATGACGGAGGGCTGCTGGAATGTCGAAGTCGGTGCAAACCTTGGCTTTGGGGGGTTTAGGGTTTAGGGTTTAGGGTTGGTTCGGGGTTTAGGGTTTTGGGGGTTTAGGAACATGTACGGATTACAAGGGGGGGGGTGGGCCTACAGGTCCTTAGTGCTAGAGTGTATAAAGAATCCTCAGTTGGGGCCGCTATTCTCCCTTTATCACCGTAAACCCGAAAAACCCTAAACCCTGAAACCCTAAACCCCAAACCCTAAACCCTAAACCCCAAAACCTAAATGTCAAACCCCAAACCCTAAACCCTAAAACCTTAAAAACCCCAGCAACCCCGGGGCTTAGGGCTTACAACCTACAACAAAGTCTTAATCCCTAAACCTTAGTCCCAAACCCTTGTTTTGTGGGAGCCCAGGGTTGCTAATGTGGTAGTGAAGGGTTACAATGGGGATTTAGGGTTTAGGGTTTAAGGTTGCTGGGGTTTTTAGATAATAGTATCCAACTCCATGGTCCTTCAAAATTTCGTCGCTTGCGGTTGATGGGTGAAACCTTACACCACCTAGGTTCCCTAGACTACTGCAACTCCTGGGGCTTATGGGACTTCAGGTGGTGCAGGATTTCATCCATCCACAGTATGACCACTATTTTACAGAACGGTCGTGGTTCGTAATAGACCCACGTAGCCCTCAAGCCTGAATCCCTGAGTCCCTACATGTTTCTCTTTCATGGCCATAGATTCTGGAAATAGCCCTCTGTAACCCTAAACCCTAGAACCCGAAACCCTAAACCCGAAAGATGAGGGAGCGCGCAACATTTACTTGATTCATACGCAATGTCACTAGCTGCAGGCCAAGTATGTGTGTGTGTGTGTGTGTTTTTTTCTCTTTTCTTCCGGTTTTGAGTGGGCTTAGGGTAGGTTTAGGGCTTAGGGTTTATAGGATTCTTGGTTCAGAGCACTTTCCCACTTCTGCTGGTGATGTTGTTGTGATTGTAGGAGAGGAGTTGTTTCTACTTGCTGCTGTCGTAGCCGCCTCTTCTGCTGCTGCTGCCGCTGCTGTACGGTGTACAACCGCTAGCCACTGCCCATACTTCCATCAAGTAATGTCCCCCTAAAGGTGGTGGCCGGAAGGAGGCAGGCCTCGCCTTGGGTCTTGGGAAGGAGCTTGAGCTAGAAGGCTCATCCTAAGGAGGGCGACTCTAGTTGAACCAATCCGGAAACAAGTCAGAGCATCGTGGACGGCAACCTCCTTCCCTACTGTGGATACTACAGCACTGAGGTAAGAAGCTAGTATGGAAGTAACTCCACTATGGGTATTCCATACAAGGTTAACAAGACTTGGGGCTTTATCTTCCCGAAACCGAAAGGTCTCCCTCAGCACTACAGATACTGTGGCAGACAAAGTCTTGGTATCTTCGGGGTCCCGGAAACGAGGCGAGAAAATCTACAAAGTCAAGATCCAGAACCTCCGGGTGGCAGGCGTGCTCAGTGCTTTAGGGTTTTGGGGATTAGGGTGGTAGCGTTTTGAGATTAAGGTTTAGGGTTTTGCGGGTTGAGGGCTTTGGACTCCTCCGACGGCTTCTACCTAACCCCGATACCGGGTTAAGGAATGCAAATTTAAGTTGCTGTAATAAGCAGACATAGCAGATAATATGGAGTCATAGTAGATAACACGGCTGCTTTCAAAAGGTAATTTAATGTACCCTTCTTAACCGCAATCATGGCTAGAGAATGGAGACTCAAATTGCTTCGGAGAGGTGATGAAACACTATGTTGCAGCCATTTCACAGCAGCTTCCATAAGTCATGGGTATACTGCCAAGGTCCCACCTAGCAGGGTGAGCATGCGCAGGCTAAGGTGCTATCAGTAGCAGAGTTCTGCGCACATGGTGCAAGATGCGCAGCAGAGGTTTGTCAGTTTATACGCATCTTGCCAAATCTTGGAGAGAGCAGCATTCCGGGCGTACTGAAAGCCGTCTATCCTACCCCCAAAGGGACACCCAAGTTGGTTTGGCCTCCGGTGCCATGGGCAGTAGTCGTTGTAGGGCCCTTTTGGGGCTTAGTCTTGTGGAGCGTAAACTCACAACAGGGCTTGGATAACTTTGCCCCCTAAACCCTAAATGGCCTTGCCATTCATCCGGGGCGCGGCCCATGGTTCTAAGCTTCCAAATCATAACCTTATTTCCTCAGAGGGAGAGGTTCAATGCTCGTCCAAGCGTCTGTGACCTCCTTCATCGTCGTAGCTTCGCCCTTCTCCTTCTTCTTGGCAAAGAACTCCTTCAAAAATTTGCTGTAGGCCCTAAACCCTAAACCCAAAACCCAAAACCCAGAGCCCTTGAGGTCCACAGCCTTAGGCTCGGCCGCTTGGCGCAGGGAGCCAAATTTCAAATGTGAAATCTGTTTTAGCAGCCGCTTTACGCCTCCCAAAGATGAGCCGCCTACTGCGTTGAGCAATACCCGACGTTGCAAGGGTTACTGTTGATACTAAGGACCCTGCATGACCCTAGTGTACTATAGGTTTTATAAGGTTAAGGGTTGGGTTTAGCGTTTAGGGTAAGGTACCAAAGGTCGCGCAGGATTTTTAATATCCAACCTCGGTTTTTGGTATCCTGTCCGACTAGTCGGGGGCCAGGGGAGTGAGATGGGCAATCCTGCGGTCCCCACAGCTCCCCCCACAAAAGTGGAACCCTAAACCCAAAACCTGTCACTGGTCTTTTTGCTGAGCAGCAATCGGTCAAAACCTTATACATCCCAAAAGCCCGAAAATACGCTCATTTGCAGGAAAGGGTTCCCAGAACGGGAACCGCCACATCCAAAAGGGCTTAGGAGACACAGGCTTAGCCCCTGAGTATGGACGATTACTTGAACACATTTAATGTTAGGGGTGTGCGTGGGGAGGTGTTTAATTTACGGGGGGGTCTACGGTGCAGGGTTTAGGGAGATTATATATATGCAGGCGGCACCAACCCTAAACCAAAACCCTAAACCCTAAGGTTTCTTTCTTTCTCAAGGGGAATTTTACAGGCCCCTTAGTGGTACTTGCAGGGCATATACGAGATACAGAGAGATCCCAGGTTTAGGGTTTGGGGTTTAGGGTTTAGGGCTTTGGGCTTAGGGTTTGTTTAGGGCCCCTTTCTGTTGTTTGCTACATTCTGCTTCTTTTAAGCGTCCTGTAAGCTAACTAAACCCCAAACCCTGAATCCTTAAACCCCTGAACAACCCCTAAAACCCGAAAGCCTGGTCTGTTTGAAAGATGTTTGCGGAGCAGGACTGGAGTTTGCGGTTCAGGGGTTTAGGGTTCAGGGCTTAGCGTTAGGATAGCCAAAACAGGACACCCACTTTAAGATTCTACGATTACAAACGATAGACTCCCAGCATGAGAAACCAATCTGCTTCCTCAATTGAAAGCCTTAAACCCTAAACCCCAAAGCGAAACAATTTCAAGCCCTAAACCCTGAACCCCAAACCGAAGCAATTTCAAGCCCTAGACCTTATGTAAACCCCAAACGGAAAGGCTCGAAACTGTGCACAGTGCAGGTGACCGATTGGGCAGTGTGCCGGACTGGTAAAGCTGAACTCAGCAGCCGCGGCTTAATTCACGAATCATACTGGGGCTTGGCAGGGAATAGGGAATAAGGGAATATAATCCCTATACAATCCCTATATGATATATTCCCTTTTTCCCTGCCAACCCCCAGAAAGGAATCTTGATGGAAGAGTTCTTGCACCTACCCTGAATCCTAAATATCAAGCTGGCTTAGGGCTAAGTAGGTTTAGAGATTAGGGTATAGCAAGAGACTAGTGTTATTCACAATATGTGTATAGGGAGCTACTTGACATTACCTGATCATGCCTTAGGTTTTCCGTACCCAGCAGCAGAGGCCAACTTGGAGGGTCATGGGGACTTAGTAAGTAGGCTAATAACTTATATAACCCATATAATAACCCCCATTATCCCAATTATTAACCTAATTACTAAGTCCCCATAATCCTAAACCCTTCACCCTAAACCCTAAACCCTAATTTGCTAAGTCCCCATGACCGTCCAAGAAGGTGATACAAGAGTTCCTCCATCAACGGCAGGATGAACGTTGAAGGCCACCTTGTCCAGCCCGGCCCGGCCCGGCTAAGAATGAGTTACATGAGTGCCTCGCCCCTGTCCTGTACTGTCCTAAGGAATTTGTTAGATTTTTTGTGTATAACCCTAAGGTAATATTGAAAATCGACTTTTTGTTATGGGTCTAAGGAAACTACAGCATCTTATGCGCCCCGCAAACCTCCAAGGATTAAACACATGCCTCGCAATAGCTTAAACAAATTAGGAAGCAGATCTAGCATGAGTGGGTAGGCAGTGCTTAGTACCAGGGTAGAGTGCTTCAAATTTAGGCGGGGGTTTCCCAAAATTAGGGGTACCTTTTGGGGGAACTATCTTGGGGTCCCCTGTTTAGGGAAACTACTAGGTAGTTGAGCAGCGGCACGTGACACCGCTTCGGCGCGCGCAATGCCACGGCTGCAGCACCATCACTTTGAACGTAAACCCCGAACCCCTAAACCCTAACCTCTAAAAACTTAAGCCCGGCACCGTACAGCCGAATTGGGGTTCATGAGACTTGGCTCAGGGTTTTGGGTTTAGGAGCTCGGGACGTAGGGTTGAGGGACTCAACTACTTCTAATTACTTTGTTCAACCCTACTTATATTCCCCCACACGGGCCTTGAAGCCCAGCGCCATTTTGCGTAAGTAGGGTTCAAACTACATTTAGCAGCACTTGCTAAGTCCCATGAACCCCCAAGTAACGTTGTGGAATGCACAGAAGCCCCGCAGGCAAGCCGGATTATGAGGATTTAGGGTTTACAGTCCCCTTTAAGTGGATAGAATATGGGGTATATGGGGATCTTATTATAACTAACCCAAAGCCATATTCTATCTACTTAAGGGGGACTATAGGTTTAGGGTGTTGAGCTTTTATTTTGGAAACCCACATGCCCGATCCATAAAGCATACCTGACTTCCGACATTGGATTTCAACGCAGTCGCGCATCAGCCATCCATCCAACGCCTGAAGCTCCAAAGGCTCAACTTGTTTCGAGGGAGAACAAGATGCCTGATATTCCCTACGTATCCGTAGAAACCCCAAGTGGGCCACATGTCCGTGCTGGCAGCTGGTCCACTTTGTGGTCCGCTTGGTGGCTCAAGTTTCTGTCACGGGTTGTGCTTGCAAATTTGTTTCTTCCTGCAGTGCAGGGCTGAGCAAGTTTCGGGGCGTTTAGGGACTTACGCTTACGATTGATGTTGAAAATCCTGCATGACCCTGCGTACCCTTTACCTCGGGTATGGTAGTATTGTGCGCTAGGGTCAGTCAGGATTTCAATTTTAAGAACGGTCGAGCTAGGGCTTCAGGGCTTAGCAGCCCCCATGCACCACAACTGTCTCCAGAGGGGGTGGCGTTGGATGTATTGAGGTTTGGGGTTTAGTACAGGCCTAGTAACTGGATCATTGTCGGATGTTTTTTCTAGTTTGTATCTACTAAAAACCAAGGAGGACCATACAGCTATCTCTGGTAGTAAACAGCAAACATCCCCTGGAGGGCCTGTGTTTTGGTCTTTCTAGAAATGCTGGGTTCTGGGTACTTTGGACAGCTTAGGCTTAAGGAATTGCGATGCTGTTGCTCTCTCTACTAACCAGGCCCCTTACCAAGTTCGAGATCCCTCAGGACTCTGAGCTTCTCTCCAAGCATCGCAAAGCCCTGGGGAGGGGAGGCCTATAGAAATCTGATATGTCTGTGATCTCCCAGGGGCTTGAAACTGAGGACGGGATAGACGAGGGGAATAGTAAAGAGACCAACTGCATTGAAATCCCTTTTGCTCGTAGCTCAGGTTCTCTCATAAGTATCCAGAATCCAGCACCAGTACCTTTTCTCCGCTTTCATTTTTGGATTTCCGTTTTTAGGCTGGTTTTTCTTGAAAGAGTACCCTCATTATTCTAATTGAGGGGTTACGCCATCTGCTTCTAGTCCCATTGGTCGCAGCCTGATGTTCTTAGCGTCATCTACCATATGTCTCATATCATCCCATGGCGAAGTTTGTACACGCAGTTGCAGCAGAAGTGATTGTATAATTTCAGTTCTTCCTATAGCCACTCATATTCTACAGAGCTCCCACTCGTACATCCCAGTGTATGTTGATGATGTTTGCCATCTCTGCCAGCATCATCAGCATCATTGGGACCCTGTTTCTCCTAGTTGAAGGCAATTTGAAGGTGCCAGGTCGCATTTAGGGTTTCAGGTTTAGGGTTTCAGGTTTAGGGTTTAGGGTATATGCCTAGGTCCCGCCGGGCATCGCTTTTTGAGAAACGTCCATAAATCAGCAGCCCGACCTGGTGAACAGTTGAAGCGGACTTAGTCACATCAAGTTAGTTCCAGGCCGCGTTGACTGCTCCTTGTTCATGCGGGAGTTTCTCAGTATCAATAACTGTATAGTCCCTAAGGGGGCGTTTGATTTCTTTTTAACCCTTAAATATCCCACGATCACTGCTTGTGATCCTTCGTCATGTTTGTTGTTGGCATCTGTTATCCTTCCTGCTTTCCTTCCCATTAACCATTATTTTGTAAGGTTCCGTTCTGACCTGTTAGCTTCCAACAAGGCTCCACTTTACAGATATGCCTTCAAGAAATGGAATCCAATGTGCATGACCAGAAAGAGGGATTCCAGAATTGAAATACAAATGACATTCACCACTTTTCTGCCTTGCTTACCCCATACCCGACAGATGTGGCCCCTAGCAATCCGTCATCAGCATGATCGCCACCACGGTCCTGTTGCCTTCACATTTCGGAGGAGAATAGAATTACCTGAATAAAAGTATTCAGCTTTGCATCTAAGGCTAGTGCAGGAGGGGAGTTCCCAAGAAGGGACCTCACACGGCCTTTATTATTATATACCCCTCATATACCTCCCAGAACCCTACAGAGCCCTATATACCTCGTATGCAAACTCTCCCATTGGAAGCTCCCCTGGGATTTTGGCCTAAACTTCTCATCTAGTTATAACTAGTTATAACATGTTTGCCGGTAATCAGTTTCTCGAAACAATTACACTTGAGGAACTTAAGTAGGTTATCACTAGCCGCGGACATCCAAGCAGGATTTGCAGCACAAAGCCCGCAGCGAGAATAACCTCGGAAGGAGCCCAGTTCGATCAGCCTTTTGTCGAGAGCAGATGGGCTGTGAAGTGATTTAGAAACTTGTTCCGAAACGAGGGCCTCTTGTGTATCTAAGGTGAGGATTTAAGCTTTATGGTTTACTCTGGCAACCTGGCAAGGGTTTCTGATCCTGCTGAGTCTAGCTAGAGGGTACTTTGAGATAGTGATGAATTCCCCTTGTTGCTTTTCTGCGCGAACTTCCTTGAAGGATTTCTGACATTTATTGGTATCTTTCTGAGGCCTCTGGCTTTTTGAAGCCATTCACGCAGCAACATGCAGCACTAGCAATTGCATAGAAATAGTCGTGACGTAGATGGCAGTTGGGGTTTTTCCCAGCTTCAAACTGATGTGTGCAGTCGTCTGCGCGTGCACCCCGAAACCCTTGACACTGCAGCTTCAGCCCTACTTGGAGGGCCGTGGGGATTTAGTAAATAGGCTAAGAATGGGGATAAATGGTCTTAATCTATGGCTTACAGGGGTAATTAACCTACGTACTAAGTCCCCATGACCCTCGAAGTAGTTACTTGCTTGAAGCCTTAGGTTTAGAACGCTGAAGCGTTTAAGCGTTATCCTCTGGACAATAGAGCTCGATAGGCGCATTACCAAACATTAGTATTACTTGAAATAACGACTATAAGAGTATAAGAGTTTATAGTACATACAACCTGGTCATTACTCAGGTCTCCCTTACCTGGTAATCAAGCCTTTGAGCCCGAAACTTTCGACTTCCACGGCGGAGCAACTGCGGGCTGTTGCTCTTGAGGCTCCTTTGCCAGGAGGTAACTCGCAACACCTGGACGTGTCTCAAAGGGAGGGTTCCAATTCCCACCCGAGACTGGAAACTGTGGAGCTTTAGCCTACTAGTGGAAAGAGCTCTTACCTGTTTGAGACATTTCCACCTCTTTGCAGATTTTGTACATGCAGAAGTTCACAGAACTAAGTGGCAGCAAGGGTTTGGGAAATTGGGGGTTCAGGGTGTGTAGGGTTTTTGATTTTCAGAGCTTAGAATTTTGGATTGCTTGAACCTAAACCCTAAATGAAGAACTCCTTCGAAGCCTGAAGTCCCAAAGGCTCTGTTGGACTTAACGCTCAGTCGTAGAACTGCTTTCGTAAGATTCCTGGGCGATTTAGCATGAAGCACTCGACGCTCAAGTTGCAATGTCGACCTGCCAGAGGCCCCGAGATCTTGTACCTTTAAATAAGCCCTAAACCCTAAGTGTGAATTCCCGCAACAGCGCACCACAACAGGCGTTGGAGAGAAATTTCCCGAGGATGTGGTTGAAACCTGCCAAGTCAGGAAGGATTTCCGCAACTCTTGATTGTAAAGAAATGGAATCAAGGGTTTAGGGCTTAGCAGTTACCAGGCGGGC